AAAGTTAATAGAACGAAAAATAAATCGACATGCATATGTGTGGCATTATTCCTTGTCAAAATCGGTCCAGTTATCTTCTAAAAACTACACTGTATACATGTACAGACAGACAGACCTAGACTGGCCCAGTCTTGGCAATTTCATATTTTATATAAAATTTCATTTTAAGAATGAGTTTGTGGTAATTTTGTGGCGGACCATGATTAAAAAAAAAGAATTACAAAATTGCCATGGTTGAGCTAATCTAAGACAGACCTAAAATTGTTTTTATTTTGCTCTAACGTCCGACGGGAATTACTCATTCATATTTCCCGATTTGTCATCTAGCTACTCCAATCTAGAATATGATAACAAATAATTTTTATTTACTTTTACACGCTTGCTACGCTCTTGAGGAGTGGTGTTCACTTGCTTCTCAATTCTTTTGATGCCCTTCTTTATATCAGTAACATCATTATGTACATGTTTTACCAGATCCATAACTTCAACATCCATATTAGACTGCTCAATAATCATATCTATATACTTCAGCTCCATTTCAGAATCTAGTGGGTCATTCAAAAATTGATCTATTCTAGTTTTATCAGCACCAAGCCTGATCAGGACACTTTCTATTTCTTTCCAGTGTTTCTTAAAATCATCATTACCAACACCAGTTGTTGTGACATGTCCATACAACTTATTCCTAAAAAGTCTTATCCGAGTTAAATCAGCTGCATTACTATGATCTCCGGTCTGTGGGTTGTTTTGTTTTTTTGAGTAGGGAAAACTATACCTATGGCCCAGATTACGAAAAAAACCTATCAGTAGGGTTAGATCAAATTTGTCAAGTGAAGCCTGATTTGCTGGGAAAAGTAACTTGTGTTGGTCTTTATTGGTTATTTTTCGAATTTCAGACTCATGATTCGTTAAAAGCGATGAGAGTGTCAGTTTCGAAAGAAAAGTGGAGGAAAACAACTTTCTGACAACATCTGTGCCTTGGTTTATCAGCAGGGCTGCCAATCTAGCACCATTCTGTTTGTCTTTAGTGTACACTGCCATGTTGTTGCTTATTTATGACGTCACTGAAGTACCTGTAAGAGATGAAAAATTTGGAATTTAATTAACTCTGAAAGAAGTAAATCTATATTCAAGACAAAACAATACCAGACATGAAATGAACGTAAACAAGTCATATGAAGATGACACAGCTCCCACTTGTCAGATGTGATTATAGTTGGCTATGAATTATAAAGTTTGAATGTATATGTATACAATCGGGTAGGAAGATTAAGTTGAAAAGTATGTTACTCAAAGTTAACAGCTAGGATATCTCTATTAAATTTGGTAAAATTTGCATCAATTTTAACAAAAATTCACAATCAATTGAATATGGAAATTCAATTGAGTCAATATTAAATACAAATACATGAACTATTTAGTTCACAAGATATTAACAAAAATTCAAAATTAATTAAATATTCAAATTAGCTCATTAATTAAGTTGAAAGTCAATATTTCGTAGCACACATCTTATATTGATCAAGTGAGTCTATACCAAGTTTGGTCTCATTCAGACAATTAGTTCACAAGATATTAAGAAAAATTCAAATTAATTAAATTTGCAAATGAGCTTGTTGATTAATTAACTCAATATTGCATAGCAGTAATTAGCACATATCGTATATTGACAGATCAAGTTTGGTCTGATTTGGACTATTAGTTAGATATTAACAAGAATTCAAATCAATAATTAAATATTCAAATGAGCTCATTAATTGATCCTTAAAAAATGAATCAATGTGCATCTGTACCAGTGGTCACTCTGTCTTTGTACCAAGTCTCAGCAAAATCGGTCCAGGCATCTCTGAGAAATGATGATGGACACACCCAAAAAACTGGATTTTACATGATTTTGACATTCAAAATGGCCACCAGGCAGCCATATTTAATCAAATCAGGAAATAAATCCATGTGAATATGTATACAAAGTACCTCCTCACTGTGCTTTTGTACCTAGTATCATTGAAATCAGTCAAAGCATCTCTGAGAAATATCAATGGACAGACAAAAGCCATGATTAACAATCAAAATGGCATGGCTGCCAGTCGGCCATATTTAATCATTTCAAAAAAGTAAAAAAAGTGCATCTGTATGGGTGATCCTTTTGTCTTAGTAACAAGTCTCAACAAAATCGGTCCAGCTATCTCTGAGAAATCACTTTGGACGGACAGACGGAGGCGAAACTACAAGCCCCCTCCAGGACTTTACTTTGTACTTTACTTTGTAGAGTAATTATCACTGCTGCAAATATTTAAATACACTGGTCAAGACTGAATAAAATGCACATGCGTAGCATGTTTTAATTTGTGAAGCAATTTTTTAGAACATAGACAAAACATAGTTAATTAATATGCAAATTAGAGATTAATTATAACCAAGGGTTGAATATTCAACTAAGCACAATATGGGGATACAAAGTAACAATCCATTTGAATAATATATTGCTATCATACAGAATAACAAGATGAAACAGTTAATTAGTATGCTAATTAATATGCACAAAGTAATTTCAAATACTATCATATATTACTCTACACAATTTAATGTGTACAATGTGAATGTATTATCCTGAATATTGGTTAAATTTGAAAGACTTTACTGTAAATACAATTAATTAAACATGGGTTCTGTTAGCTAATCAGCAAACTAGAGCAAATAAACTGATGTTTAATGAAACAAAAAATTATACATACCCTACTTGTTTTCGAAGTGCACACAATTTATTTTTTTGGTCTTAGTATGTAAATTAGCTACCAAAAATAAACAGATTATAATTATTAGAAACTATGATCAGACATATGCATATATACCAAGTTTAAATCCATTG